ATGCATGGTGACTACTGTGGGCAAAGAAGTGTCTGTACCATGGAGTATCTTATAGGGGTGTAAGGAGTCCTTACGATGGCATATAATGTGATATAAATGGAGTGTCTACACTGTGCAGGTGTACTATTTGGGAGCATTTGAGTTGCCTGCACCTTGGGGAGGACCTATTGGATTATATATGGCATCTACACTGTGGTGACGACCTTATGGGGACATAAAAGCTGTCTGTCTGCAGGGTATCTTGTAGAGGTGGATGGAGTGTATACATGATGGGTGTGCACTCTTTGGGGTCACATGACATGTCTGTACCTCAGAGAGTTCTACAGGGGTCTATGTGTGAGCGAGATCTGCTGTGAGTGAGGGGGATTTGTTGGGGAGATCTGCTTACTATATGTGATGACTATACAGTTCTTGCAATGGCTGTATTTAGGGTGATCATATATAACAAAATGGTATATTAATGCATACTACTATACTGTCATATTCTTTCTGTACATATACTATGTAGGATGGTCATACACTGTGAGTAATGGAGAGACTCTGCATGTGATTAGTGTACCATATGTATGTGATAAGTACAGACTGTGTGTGGAGTACATATTGAATAGGCTTATATGAAGGATATACCCCGAGTGTGGTGAGTATACACTTTGTGATGGCTATGTTTTGTGAGTAATAGTATATAAGGCATCTACAGTGTATAGAATGGATATACTTTTATGACAAGTATACACTGTGTGGGTGATGGATACACTTTGGGGAGGGACATGCTATATGATATGGACGCACTACCAGTATATGTGAGATGGGCATATACTATGACATATACATGGAGTGGGATAAGTTTACGGGTAAGTGTGAGTACCTGCTGCATATGTATACATTGTGTGGTGGGTATAATCATGAGTAATAGGTATATATGGTATACATAATGGATATATTCTTTAAGAATCCACTTTGTGGGACAAATAGGCACTGTGTGATTCCTACGCTGTGGGGGTAGTCTGTGTATGAAATAGTTGTTGGGATGGGTCTACTGCGTGGATATCAGGCATCCTGTGTGTGTGTCGCTTGTGATAGGAATATTGGGTGTGTGTCTGCATGTGAGCAGACAGAATGCAGTCACTCTACTGGGAGGGGGCATAGCAGGGAGCAGTTGGATTTTCATCTGTTTCCAGAACCTCCAGACCCTTGAGCCCACCGCCATACTGTTTCAGGTTCTTCCTCAAGTTCTTCCTCAAATGCAACCAGAACTGCCTAAAGAACGCAGGGAATCCCCGAGACATGCGTCGCTTCCAGGTGGGTCTGGGGAGAGGGTTCACGCCTGCAAACCTGCCCTTTCCTGTTAGTGGGAGTCAGGGGTACCCCTGCCACCCTGGGAAAGGCCTCGAGGGCAGATCCCTGCCCAACCCAGCCCAGCCCTGTGCTTCAGGGTCTGATGCCTGCTGGGGGTGGGGTGGCTCCATCTCAGCTTATGCTGGCTGCCAAGGGAGGCTTCATTAGAGCCCCACTTAAGGAGATGCTAATTGTGACATTTTTACATGATTAACGACCCAGCTAATTTGCATAGCGTGAAGCAGCGAGCAGCTGCCCTTAGCACATCCCCAACCTGCACACCGGTCCCAGGGAAGGAGGGGGGAAGAAGGCAGTCCCAATTTCCTCCCAAGGGTGGGGGCTCCTGCTGGTGGGCTCTCAAGCTGGTGCTGACCCCCTAATCAAAACTCTCACTTCACTTGCCTAAGACCCATTCCTGCCTTGGAGCCCCAGGAACAGAGCCTGGGCTACTGTGTGTCTGCAGAAACCGTAGCCACTCCACCCGAGGAGACAGTCTTTCCCCCCAGAGCTCTTGACTTTTCTAGCTCCGGGGGGTCAGTTGCCCTGGGCAGTCAGAGATTGGGCTTCTGGGAATGTCACCTGACCCAGCTGGCTCCCCTCCACAACCCTGAGGGGCTGAAGCTTTCCCCCGTGTCAGTGACCCTGAATTCCAGCCGCCAGCCTCCAGTTGCTGGTGCCCCACAAGTTTCCTCCTGGGAGCCTCCCCGGTCCCCAGGGCTCCAGCCAGGCTGGCCTCGGCTCTCCCCGCAGGTGGTGGTGTCCACGACCGTGAGCGTGGACGGACACGTGCTGGCCGTGTCTGACAACATGTTTGTGCACAACAACTCCAAGCACGGCCGCAGGGCGCGCCGCCTGGACCCCTCCGAAGGTCAGGACTCCCGGTTCAGCCCCCGCTGCCGAAGGCCCGGCCAGCCTCCCGTCCCCACCCTGGGGCCAGCCCCTGACCTGGCTCCTCTCCCGCCTCCCAGCTGCCACCCCCTGCATAAAGGCCATCAGCCCGGGGGAGGGCTGGACCACGGGCGGCGCCACCGTCATTGTCATCGGCGACAACTTCTTCGACGGCTTGCAGGTCGTGTTCGGGAACGTGCTCGTGTGGAGTGAGGTGGGCCACCCCCCCTCCCCGCCCCCGTCAGACTCCCTCCGGGCTCGGGGCTGGGCCTTTCTCTCCCGGGGGCTTCACCCGCAGGCCTCCTCTCTCCTCTGCAGCTCATCACGCCCCACGCCATCCGGGTGCAGACGCCCCCGCGGCACATCCCCGGGGTGGTGGAGGTGACCCTGTCCTACAAGTCCAAGCAATTTTGCAAGGGAGCCCCCGGCCGCTTTGTCTACACAGGTGAGGAGTCAGGCGGGAGAGGGGAGGCCTAGGGTCCCGGGAAGGAGCCGGGTCCTCGGTTCCGCTCTGGAGCCCTGGCCGCGGGCTTAGTCAAATCTACCGGTGGCCTCGCCCCCTGGCGGCTGCTTTCCTCCCTGTGCACCTCGCGCTGCTTTCTTTCCTTGCGATTCTCTCTCTCCCTGGCCTCTGGCACCTCAGTCCCCTCCCAGGCGCCGAGTCCCAGCCCTCCTCCGCCTTCTCTCTGCCTCGGGCCTTCTCGCCAGGGTGTCCAGAGCACCCCACTCCTCAGGGTCTAGATTAACATCTCCCCGGGAATGTTTATTTCCAAGGTGCCCCAATAGGCTCGCTGCTCTCTGAATCCTCCCTGGGTGTCTTGGTTCCTCCAAGCCTCTGCATGCGTGTACACACACACACACACACACACACACACACACACACACACGACCTGAGTGAAAGCCACTCCCTGGAGATGCGGGGTAGAATCCTCCATCCCGGCTCTATTTGGCCACTGGCCAGAAATTCCCACCTAAGCCCAAGCCGCGCACTTCTCCACCCCCACCCCACCCCCATCCGACAGATATTCACGGAGCCCTTCGTGGGGCTCCCACCACTGGGCAGTGACCCTACTTACTGTCAGGGAGTGCCAGCCTGGCTGGGGGCTGGAGATGCACGTGGAGGGGTGGTCAGCCGGGGATTCCGGCTGC